ATCAATTTTTGGGTGAACTATCCCTTTAACATTAGTTAATGCTTCAGTTATCTTTGTATCTAACAATACATTTTCAGCATTTAGTAATCTTGGTTAAAGGAAAAGTTCATCCAAAATGAAAATTTGCTGAATATTTACTCACCCTCAGGCCATCCAAGATGTAGAGGAGTTTGTTTCTTCATCGGAACAGATTTAGAGAAATTTAGAATTACATAATTTGCTTACCAATGGATCCTCTGCAGTGAATGGGTGCCATCAGAATGAGAGTTCAAACAGCTGATAAAAACATCACGATAATCCACAAGTAATCCATGTGACTCCAGCCCATCAATTACCACCTTGTGAAGCGAAAAGATGTATTTTTGTAAGAAACAAATCCATCAATAAGACATTTTTAATTAACGACTGTTGCTTCCGGCTAAAACAAAAGTCCAATGTACATTTTTAACATTTCAAGATGTATAAATTAACATAAATTCATTATGAATGAACATTAACAATAAACAGTACTATTAATAAATTAACTTTAGATTAATAAATGCTGTAAAAAAAAAAAAAAACGTTATTTTTAGTTCACAATACCTAATGCCTTAATCAATGTACATAAACTAAGTTACGGCCGCTACAAATCTCACCAACTTTTTTAACTTTAATTTTCTCGCTTTTTTCCTTTCAGTGTTGACATGGTGGTATGACTCTATTCCATAGCACATCTCCAGCTATGTTATATTAATTTTAACAACTTCTCAGTTTTTTTCTTTATATTTTCTGTGTATTACAATACTGATAAGATTCATAACACTGTTTTAGGGTAAGGTTAGGTTTTGGGCATCTAAATATTAATTAATTAACGTGAATCTATAACTGATTATGTGTTTCACTTATAGGTGTTATTTCAATATTTTCTAATGAGTTGTGGTTGGTAGTAGGTGTAACTTGTAGTAGGACTCAAATCATTATGTGGATTACTTTAGATAGGTGTTTTTTTTTGTATCAGGCATAGTTTAGGATATAGACAGACTCTTCTCAATAAGTCTTTTGAAGATTTTGATGAGAAATATTTGAGTAGGAGAAATCTGAGCACATTGTTCATCACATCTAATAATCTATAAGAGAGAAGATGTGAGATTGCGCTTCTTGAGAAGTAGGATTTTTTAAAACAAAACACTATTTATTCTTCATGGAGATGTACCATAACTGAGATATCATTTGTGTCCTCTTAACTCATCTCAGAATCATGTTTGTCTCCGTAAAATGCCGTAAAGAGCTTCCCTCTGCTGAAGAGATGCAGGTTAACAGGTCTGAAAAAATCTGGCAAGACATGAAAAGGAAAATGGAATCAGACGCAATGGCAGACAGAGGAGGAAGTGTAAGGGGCAATAAAACATGCATTTCTTACCCACCCTTAGATGCTAAATGAAAGCACACAACTCATATGAAGATGGAAAATCAGTGCTAATGGCCTATTTCACAGGTTTTTCTCTGCCTGGGTTTGTATCTGTCTGTAAGAGTCACTCGAGACATGAGACTCTGTGTGCCACAGTCATAAATATGTCCAAGTGCCATTTTAAAAATAGTCAGATTGACTTTGATTGGTATGTGGAGGCTTAGAGAGAACAGTTGTTGCCATGTACAACTATTGATATTGCCTGCCAGTCATTTATGTCGTACAAAGCATTACGTAAATATGTCTGGAACATCAGGCACTAAAACGGCTCAGTATCATTTGCCAGGTTGAATTCAGGTATAAATCCAACACTGTTCACCTCGGTCTTTCTCACAGAGGAAAGCCATGACAGAAGACTTCAGCCCATCCCTCAGATCAACCAGACATCAATGTACCAGCTATCAGAGGGGGGCCGCTACCTCCACGGACACACATCCTGCTTTAATGTCTGTCAAAGCTTTGAGAAAATCTTCTGAAACCATTAGGAGGAGCACAGGAATCAGAAGGTGGAGGTGAAGCTGGAAGTTGTGGGAGGCTGTGAAGACGGGACCCTTCCATCTGGTCTGTGAAGCCGACAGTCTCTTCCTCCCTCTGAAATCTCTCACTTCATTCCATCACAGGTTGTACTGCTAATAACTTCATAAGCTTGATGGATTAAAAGGCATTTTTATAGGATTTAGTCCACAAAACTTCTTTAGTTAAATGCTGGTTCGCTTATGATTTATTTAGCAACGATGACAATAATAATACCAGTGTTTTGCACAAAACATAAATCTAAAATACCCGTTAAGAGGACTAACACACTGTCCTTGCCAGCGCAAAGAATCGTTTTGAAATGGAAATGAGCATATGGCTATTTCGTCATGGCTCTTGTCAAGGTGGAGACGCCTTTCGCAATGCCTTTTAGAGAATCATTGGCACTTTAAGGTTGCTTTTATGCATTAGAGAAGGATTTATGACTATATGCGTGCAAGCGCTGGCCAGTGCAACGTGATCAGGCTAATAGAGTTATTGACACCCCTCCGTATGGCCACACTCTTTCAAGCGTCCATCAATCCATCCATCACTCCCCTTTAAAAAGGGATTTAGACAACCCAATGCATTTCATTAAGACTTGAAATTACTTTTGAAAACAGGGAGATAAATAAAGTCCGTCATGAAAGCAAATGCTAAGCAGACACTTTGAAGGCGAGAGGAAACGTTTAAATCATCATAATGCCGCACCAAAAAAAGCAGGAGCAAGAAATATCCATTAGGTAAAACAAAATGAAAATGTGATTAGAGAAGTGTTCTCTAGCTGTAACACCTCACTCTTCATCATGCTAAGAGATGCTCACAAGCGCCAACCAATCAATGCTGTTACTGATACTCATACTGTAGACAGAAACCGTGAGAGCGGCTGCACAGAGATTCAGGCCCACACGGGCCTGTCTAGAAACCAGTTGTGTCTTAAACCCGGGACACACCAAGCCGACGGTCAGCCATTGGGCAATGTCGGGTGTTCTTTGATCGTCAGTCGGCTTTAATTTTTTTTTATGTGTTCCATGCCATTGGCTATAGTCGGACACCGTCAGCTGTTTTACGACCAATTCTGCATTTCGAATCGGTGGCGGAACGCGCCGGCGAGAAGAAGAACAACGATTGGCTATTCAGCTTAGCGAATGAGCAGACAAGAAAAAAATGGACCTGACGAAAGCAAATCAATGACGGAGTAAAGAGGGAACACACAAAAACTTGTTGTTATTCTGTCCGTTTCTTTCTTTATCCAAAAAAACACCAAGGACTGACAATGCCAGTGCAATTTGCAACTTAGCAGACATGACTGAAAAAAGCTACACGAATCCATCAGTAATGAGCGTGGCTGGTGTAAACAATGGTAAAAGCGCTGCTTGCTTTGTATATCCACAACTCTAGCTCTTCCGGTTTCCCTGTTTGAATGCCAAATACAGACTACTGCCACCTGTTGGTATTGGAGAGTTATGTTCTCCCTCGCAAGTGCAGATCATACACGCTAGTTGGGCATCGGTTGTAGTCTGTCTGGTGTGTTCTAGTGCAACTGTTTTTGTCGCAATGTGAGGCGACGCCACACTGGCTTTCCTCAGGCTAGTTCTTTGGCGTCGGTTTGGTGTGTCCCTGCCCTTAGAGTAACAAAATAAAAAGGTAATTGTGACTTTATTTATCCTAATTGTGAGTTTGTTTCTCAAATTGCAACTTCATAACTCACAGTGTAACTTTTTATCAAATTGGACTTGTGATTCTCTTTCTCAAAATTGTCTTCTCACAATTCATTTACTTTATATCTCAAAATGTGACTTTATATCTTACATATGACTTTATTTCTTGTAATTGAAAATGTTTCTTTCAATTGAGACTATATATGTTACAACCTTATATCTCACAACTGCCACATTATATCTCACTTTATTAATTTGAACTTTATTGGTCTTTTTTTTAAACTGAAGTGAAATTGGGCTTCCTTAGGCCTGACTAACAAAAGCACAAAAACAGGGTAAATGTCTGGAATATGCTCAAAAGGATTGATATTTAGTTTAGTTTGAGTTTTTTCTCTCTCTCTAGATCATGACATACTGTAGGAACTGTAATTTTACAGGATTAGATTTTTTTTTAAATCCCACAGAAAGGGAATTTTAAGAACCTGCAAGATCAGTATGATTTCTCATCAGGTGCGTAGATACAGGGAGATGGAGGAATGTTCCCCTCAACATTTGGAAAATATCAAATTGGCTGGTAATATTAAGGAAAACATCCTATTTCATTTCCAGGTTCCCGCAGGAAAGTAAAATGATGAGATCTTTAATATCTCAGTTGTTTCTCTTAGACAGCAATGAGAACCAAAGGAAACTTTTGCTTGAAAGATTCTTGGCAAATTCTGAGCAAAAAAATTGTTATTGGTTGTGTGATTGCAAATTACATCTCTAATGAAAGATCTCATCGATGTGGGTCCAATATTCATTGTTATTATTGGGGGAGGGAGTCTTCATAAACAACAAGAGAAAAACACACTTGTAATATGATTTGTCTCAATGTGTGATTCTGTAATTATGGAAACAGTAAATAATTAGAAAACAATACATAATTCATTGTTGACTCAGATTCATTCGTTGGAATCACATTAATGAATGTTTCATAAGTGGATGGATATCATTTGGAAGGTGAGGAGAAGTTTGACAGGGCTGGTTTTGCTAAAAGCGCATGCTGCCTGCACAAACACCAAGAGGAGCACTGTTTGTTTTTACACTGATTATAATCAGGTGAACAACACAGGATTACATTACTGTTTGTTTCTCAAGACTGAGGAATCGCAGCCGGTTCACGACAGGTTCCAGTTCGCATGGCCAAGAACTAGATACAAATGAGCTCTGGCTCCAGACCGTGAACCATTTTGGTATAAAAGAGGAGTGTGAGAGCTCACATTTTAGTCAGAGCTCTGACTTTGTTGTGCCATGTATAATTTTTGTTGTTGGCATGAACAAAAAACAGCTTGTCGGTGGAATCTAGTAAAGGCTCCTAGGTTTTGGAACTAATTTTTGGGAAAATATGATGGTAAACCAGTCACACCAAGTCCAAACTGTGACAACCTTTTTTAGACACTAGGTAAATTATTGTTCAGTTGCTCAAAACAAACACTCACCATTCAAAGAGACTGAAAAATATTTGGATATTTATAAGATTTATTTTTTGTGTAATTTAATTCAATTGGACTTGGTATAAAGAGGCTTTGCATTACTCATGTTGTGCAGTGTGTACTGTTGTAAGAGGTGAAGAGTTTGTGGAAAACAATAAATGATTTCTGAATGGGTTTTTTTCCCTCAGCAAATAATTTGGGTCTACTTGTATACATTTGTGTGCATCAGCCAGCCATACATTAAAAATATGAGGCTAGTATTTATTTTTTTTCCATTTGCAGTCAGACTCCTCTTCTCCGTTGTGCCATGTGCCTGCACTGTTTTACTCAGGAAATTCAGGCACCGTTATCTGAATCTCACAGGAACTCTGCAATCAATGCTGTCCCTCTGTTCCCATTGGTTCTGCATTGTGCAGCCCGCCTACAAAAATAAGGCGATGTGTGGTTTACATGTGAAATGTGTTATTCAGTCCTATTCAAAACCAGATGGGAAGCATTGACCTGAGAGCACTTGTTTACCTTGCTTAAATAGTTTTGTCTTGTGCTCAGAACAGACCAGATACCTTCTCCATGGTTACTGTCAGTACGTGTTAATTAGTCTATATTAGTCGGTGTGTCTCTATAAAAACACTAAATGAAAAGACAGTTGGTAAACTCCCAAATGAGCGTCTGGCTTTTACAGTTTATAAACTAGATGAGTGAATTAACTTAGGCACTGTGTTTTGAAAATTCACTTAATTGCTGAAATAACATGGGTTACATTTATGGGCTTGATAGAAGGACAAATATATAGTTGATTTCAGAAATTGCTAGATATAAATACAGATTAAATAAATAGATTTAATTAATCTAAATTGAGACACTATACCATGTGCTAAGAAGACTGCTTCTTCATATCCTTTGTAACCCTTTTTTTTTTTTTACATGTACAGTAATATAAAATGTAATATAAAAACACGGTTTAATTAATATTTCTTGAGTGAGAGAGATCTTTTGACTTTTTGGGAAAACTTTGAGACTGTAAGTTAATGATAAATTGAAGTAGAATAGGACTAACTATCTATCCATCCATCCATCCATCTATCGTTCCATGGTTCTATCATTTTATCTATGGTTCTAATTATTGTTCTATATTGTATCGTTCTGTCTGACTAATTGGAATTTAAAAGTCATTTTTATTCTCAGTTGCTCACAACCCTCAAAGATAAAGTAGCTAACTACACTGAAGTTACTTATAAACAGAGGCGGACAAAGTACACAACTCCATTACTTAAGTAAAAGTACAGATAATGCCGGTCAAATATTACTCCATTACAAGTAAAAGATGTAAAGACAGATTTTTATCAAGCCCGCCACCTCTGCTTACTCAGCCCGCCGGCCGTTCCTCATGCTAGACCCCGGCCTCTGCTCACTATAGGCCGCCGCTGTTCACTCTAGGCCACCGTGTGTGATGCTGTGTTTCGTTGTGAAAGCGAAACTACTTTGTTTGGCCTTATTTCGGTGCATCTCTAATTATTGGCGACATCAGAAATGGATATTATATAATAGATGCTTTTTTGAACATTTTAGCAATTTAAAAATATTAAAAAAAAATTTTTTACACGGCACCCCGGTTGTGAAACACTGGTGTAGAGTAGGGCTTGTTGTTTGTCATTTCTCCGATCACAAATGCAGACATGGTTTTATGTTTACGCGGCGCGATGCAACGCAACGCGTAAAAAGACAGTATAAGTCATTATAATCCACAATTATGTCCCCACTGGATGCAACGAATGTCTCGTTTATAATGGGTTTTCATGTTTTTGAATCGTCGCTCCGGCCTGACAGGGCATCATCACAATATGGCAAGGGGCGTAACATTTCCGTCACACGCATGAGGTATTCGGCCAATCATAACGCATTGGATAGCTGGCCAATCACAGCACACCTCGCTTTTCAGACCGATGAGCTTTGTAAAAATCGACGCGTTTCAGAAAGGCGGGGCATAGAGGAGAAACAATCATGTACAGTATGTGGAAAATAATGTGTTTTTTGAACCTTAAACCGCATAAACACATTTCATTACACCAAATACACCAAATAATGTTCTTTTTTAGCAACATCATATGACCCCTTTAACAAAAATGCAAAACAGCAAGACTTATTTGACATAAAAAAAACAAACAAAAAAATGCTGTCTAATTGCTCTCGCTGTACTTTGATGTCACACACAGAATGGTCTGTGCAGGGCTGCTTCAGTCAAACACCTTTTGTGTTTTATTAGGAGACGCACATCAGTTCTTCTGTGGCTTTATAGGTAATATTTTCACTTACACAATTTAGCAAAATCAGACAATATTGTGTCTAATATAAACCACAATATTAACTTCTTATTATTGAATTGTTGTAAATAAATATCAAATTTGGAACTGGTCAGTGCTCAAAAAATGATGGGAAATCACTTCATGTAGCCCCAAGAGTGATTACTGATAAACTGTCTGAAAAAAAGAAAGTCACGTTTTAGAGAAGAAAAAAATCACCCACTGACTTTCAAAGCTGCTAACGACTTTCTACTTTGAGGATCTTGGTAGAAATGTAGTGGAGTGAAAAGTACAATATTTGTCTTTCAAATGTAGTGAAGTTAAAGTCATACGTTTCCAGAACAAATAATACTCAAGTAAAGTACAGATACTCAAAAAGTGTACTTAAGTACAATACTCAAGTAAATGTACTTAGTTAATGTCCGCCTCTGCTTATAAATTATATAAATTGTAAATATAATTAAATAAATATATCTGGGATGATGCTACAATGATCTCAATTTGAGTGACAACATTAAAGCTCAGCTCTGCTGTAAAGCTACAAACGCCAAACGCGCCAAAAAACAGCAACATGATTTTATTGTCACACTGCTTCTCATTTGGAAAAAGCAGCTTTTTGGAAAAGCTACATTTTTGGAAACTGCTGAGCTACTGTAATGCTACTAAAAAAATATTAAAAACAAAAATGCTACTTTTAGCTTGTACTTTTAGCTTGATCACTAAACACCACATTCATTGGAGTCATTGGAAAATGCTGCTGCAACTTTATAATAATAGCTAGGAAGAAAAGCGAGCCGTTTGAAATGATTGAGTGCGCATTATTTCAGAGAAAATCATTTGTTAAAGAAGTCCCTAAATGGTGAAGGTAATTCTCTGAGGTCATTTTTGGATTCGTCCACCGGACTCAGAGCCAAGGTCCATATTAGCGTTCTGGAGTTCATAACTAAATTTACAACGCTGCAACTCGGAGCAAGCAGTTAATTTTCATCTTTTTATATTTCCAATTAGGTGAGCTGGAAACGGGAATGATTGCCCCTGTCTCTCTACCCTTTACCTTCAGATGTGACAATTAGAGAGTGAAAGAAAAGAAATGACTGAACGAGGCCACGCGAGATCACATTCGGCCAGTAAATGACAGTCTGAACGTTTGCTTGAATGATGAGGTGATGAGAGCCAGCCAAGAGTCCAGACTCAATGACAGATGCAGAAGTCGGAAATTACCTGAAGATGAACCAATCGCTCCTTCCTCCCCCGCCTCTCTTTCCCTTTCAAGATCACGGTGCCTCAGCTTCAAAATGGTATGTTAGAGTTTGGTATGTTGACCTCTACATCTCTCATCAGAAAGCATTCAGTGTATTCTGTAAGGCACTTTTGTTTGCTCCAAGGGGACTGTGGACACAGCTTTACCGTATAACCCAGTATTTATGGATGCTGGGATATTGTAGGGATCCTATTGATTGCATGTAGATATTCATGAGTTACCTGCTTCCCGCTTGAGCTCGCTATGTGGTCTTACATTTTTGCAATATTCTATGGACAAATGAATAATGATCGAATTCAGCATGGATTTAACACACAAATGGGGCCTATTATAGATTCCAGTCATGCAGCTAACACTTGTTAGAGGGGGCAAATCTGGCTACGAGGCAGATTTGCTCAGAGCATATTTCTTTCCTAATACTTTTGATGTTATATGCTATTTGCATCTGAAAAACAGGAAGACATTTTTCAATTTCACTAAAAGATGAATGCCCATGTGCTGTTAGTAGAAAAGGTACGTTGTTTGACGTTATAAAGTGGATTCATTTTGAACATCAAATTTGCCTCTCCCGCTGTCAGTTTTTCTCTCTGTGAGAGCTACTATATTAAGTCCAGCGGCTTGTCTCTTGACCTTGGCTGTCAGAGCAGTGAATGGTCAGGCTGTAATATTTGATTCAGGGGACCGTAGAGTGGGACAGGCTAATCTAAATGAAATGAGCCAGGATTTTTCACAGATTTATCCCAGGCTGAGAGAAATACAGGACACTTCTCCTGTGCCTTCTCCAACTGACATAAAGTGTTTGCAAAGAGCTTAATCACAAACACTTTGCATCATCGATGAATGCTTGATTGCAAAGAATTTGCACATAATTGGCACCTTAACAAGCTTAAAAATCACTTATTGTGAAGAACACTTTTGCTTTATGCATCATCCATCATGTATACTACAGTACTATTTTTTTTGTTTGCTTGTTTGTTTTTGAAGATTTTCACTATTCTTGATGATAAAGATGATTAAAATGTATATTACAATAAATAAACAAATTGAATACTTATGCATATATCCATAGGAATATATATGCATTCCCTGATTATATATTGTATATGCTTCTGTGTGTGTGTGTTAATTTTTTTTATTTATTGTAATATACTTTTTAATCACACATATGTACATAGATATGCAGACAAATGTGATCCTGGACCACAAAAGCAGTCTTAAGTCGCTGGGGCATATTTGTAGCAATAGCCAAAAATACATTGTATGGGTCAAAATTATCGATTTTTCTTTTATGTCAAAAATAATTAGGATATTAAGTAAAGATCATGTTCCATGAAGATATTTTGTAAATTTCCTACTGTAAATATATTAAAACTTAATTTTTTATTAGTAAAATGCATTGCTAAGAACTACATTTGGACAACTTTAAAGGCGATTTTCTCAATATTTTGATTTTTTTGCACCCTCAGATTCCAGATTTTCAAGTTCAGTTCTATCTCGACCAAATATTGTCCTATCCTAACAAACCATACATCAATGGAAAGCTTATTTATTCAGCTTTCAGATGATGTACAAATCTCAATTTTGAAAAATTGACACTTATGACTGGTTTTGTGGCCCAGGGTCACAAACATGTATACATTTCCTGATTATATATATATACAGTGGGTACGGAAAGTATTCAGACCCCCTTACATTTTTCACTCTTTGTTATATTGCAGCCATTTGCTAAAATCATTTAAGTTAATTTTTTTCCTCATTAATGTACACACAGCACCCCATATTGACAGAAAAACACAGAATTGTTGACATTTTTGCAGATTTATTTAAGGGGGTCTGAATACTTTCCGTACCCACTGTATATATATATATATATATGTGTGTGTGTGTGTGTGTGTGTGAAAAAATTATGATGACCATTGTTCTGATATGAATGGTTTGTTTGGTTGAGAATGTTTGACTGGTTAAGAATAGTACTGAAAAAAAGCAAAGCACTGTGTTACAAAAAAGGGGTTGAGATCATTATGAGATCTGCCTTGTAAGGTGGTTTTTTGGTACTCGGCACTAGATTATTAATTAATTTAATTACTTACCTTTGGCCTGCTGCTGAGGAAAAGCAAACATAATCAAGTTCCCTCTACTGCTTTGAGTGAAATGATACTTTTTTTTTTCTGCTTTCAGAGTGACATTATTATGTGATTATATAATTATACAGTTGTTTTTTAAGGTCAGTCCAATTACATTGTAGAATAAAAGCGATGATGTGAAGCATTGTAATGACTGCCTTCAACAACTGTTGGAGCTACATGGTCAAAAACAGGCAAATTTACACAACAAAGATGTTAGTTGTGCAATGCTCTCACAAAACAAGTGCGTAGCTGTCTGAAGAATAGAATTATGCTTTTTAAACCCTAAGCTTTCAAACTTCTTGCCTTTATGAGAAAGTTTCAGTCTATGGGTCTTGAGAGGACAATCTTAGCATCTGTTGAGCGAAATCCCAGACATTTTTAATGAGAACATTATTTATTATTCTGTTGAAGTAATGGAAGAAGCACATAAAATGGGATTTGAATAGGTGATGCTACAAACATTTTTTCGGTAAAGTGAAGCAAACGATGTCAGAAATGACACAGATGATTTAGATACAGAGCCCGTCATTACTGCTATTCCTCTAAACACAATATTGTATTGTGTTCAAGTTTGAATAGTCACTGTTAGGATATACCAGCAAGTGTATTTTTTATCAATTTTGTATGACCAGCCAGCAATGTCAATCAGTTTGTGTCATTGTCTCATTACAAATAGTGAAGCTATTGCAAATACCAAAGCTACTTTATTTTATTGATATCGAAGTCACGAGTCTGGCATTTTCTGTCACTGTTTAGAATGAAAACTGTGATGTGCACTCTTTTTAATTTGTTCCTTGTCATTGAATTAAAACAGATTAGCAAATCAATATATTTGAGTAATTATTCAGTAGGCTTTGGTTTATACTGTCTGAAAGCTGAAATCAAAATCTAGAACAAATCATAAAATCCTACAGGCATTGAAAGCTCGCTTATGCACTCACCTCAGAGAAAGGAAACTTACTTTAACAAGAAATAGGATATTTCTGTTGACATACGTAATATGCCACTGAATCAAAATTTCCTGCAATTTATACAAGATTTACTCATAATGGAAATGAAATACAGTACAAACATAAAAGCAGTTACTTTATACTTTAATGTCAAAGAAATGGTTTAATCTAGTTGTATTAATTTTGTTGATAGAAACAAAATAGGCCATTTCTGAAAAATATATACCCACATGATACCTTTGAGGGTTTATTTGCACATTCTTGTTAGTGCTTGTGTTTCATCACTTTGAGATTTCCCCTGGAACCCTTCATTCTGGCTGCAGCATCACTGTAGAAAGCCTGTTGCATTTTTATAGCCTCCTGCTTCCAAGTACTTTACATAAAATAATAACACACATGTGTCCTCGGCTGAACCCTGTCACTCTCTTGCTGTAGGTAAAGGGTCATTTATGCTCATTAGTTCAGAACAGAGCTCACAGTCTAGCGCTTTGACCATGTGTCGTCATATGAGGGACCACCAGAGCTACCATATGCTGAAAATAGCTGGTTTGAACATGTAGATTAGGTTGTGTTGATTCTCTTATTAAACATATTTTTAACTCCACAGAATCAGTCTTGTCTTGAAAGGCTGTTTCATGGAGATCCTCTTGGATGAACGAGAGACGGTGAAAGTGGCTATAGAGTGATGTGCTGCCTTTTAAAACATGCTTGTTACAAGACCGTTTTGAAGTCCATGAGGCCGTTATATTTACAAGTCACTGGCTGTTTGTCTCTGAACAATATAATTGACATTCTGAATGGCTAATGATACTATATTAGTTGCAGATTGCACTCACATTCTGTCTGTCATGAAGGAATCCATTATAATAGTATTAGTGTAGTAAAGTAGTCTGCCTCATTGAAAAAATACTCAAGGAAGCCCAACTTGGCAGTGACGAGCACAGATTTCTTTCTCCTTCCACTCAGTGGATTGAAACGGTTTGAAAAATTGCTTTGAGAGACTCTCTTTGTAAAGATGTCTTTGCGGCCGTCTTAGCTATC